TCCGTTGTTGAATCTGAACGGACCTGCGCGATACTTGTTCAAGGTTCTTTTCTGTTCAAAATAACACTAATCAAGGGTTTTTAAATGAAAAATCGAGATTTTGGAACTGTGCCAACATAAATTGAGTTTTTGGCAATGTGCCAAAAATCTTAAATGATTATAAACAGTAACAAAAATATGGAATTTAGGATCCGACGGTATGGAGTCAGATTGAGAAGCCTTTAGTGGAGATGCGCATTGAGGATATCGTGAAACTGGTGAAACGGCTGGAAATAGCATCGGATCGGGTGGAAATAATAATCAACAGGATCAGATCGGCGAATTTGAATGGTTTGGTGTTGTACGCGTGCGATTTGGGTGAGGTGCAGCAGACTCTGAAGGTGTTTTTTGTGTGTTTGTTATTGCTTTTGTTATTATTATTGTGGTTGTTATTGTTTTTAATATTATTGTTTTTGCCTTTATTATTGTTGTTGTTATGTTACTGCCGAAGCGTTTGGGAAAGTGTGTTGGGTAGTTTCGCCACAGGATTTTCGTAGGTGGGGTATGGCGTGATTTGGCGAAACGTCACCGCCCACGCATTATTGGCGAATCTGCCCCACAAACTTTCTCAACCACTTGATATTAGTGTTGTTTGCGAATGCAATTAACATTCTTTCGAGATTAATTACTATTAGTGTTAATGTATTATTGTTATACATTATTGTTGTTCATTATTAGGCACTTGTTTAGTTTGGTGGACACGCACGTGAGCACGCCTGCGTTTAACAACTGAAGCCACGCCTATTGCACATGGCCTCAGCCTAATCGTAAGTGTAACCTCAGCTCCATCTAAGCGTAGCCTCAGATCGCTCGATGTTACAACAGAGGCTAGCATGCGAGCTCAGGCTTAGGCTTAGGCTGAGACCACGCTTAGGCTGAGGTCATACGCAGTGGGCGTGGCTTCGGTCTATGTAAAAGCGTCGTTCATAGTGTGCGTGGGCGTATGTGTGTGGTGTTGTGCGCGAACGTGCTTGCGTGTCCTCCAAAGTAAACATGTGCCTATTATTATTTATAATTGTTGTGACAATGATGATAATTATGATTATTTAGCTGAGTTTGGGTGACTGGACCCTGTTGAAGCTTCTGATCGAAACACTCCGTCAGTGGAATTGCTCCACGGTATCAAATCAACAACATACCTATAACCCAGCCCTGATCGCACCCCTCCCCACAATGCCCCTATCCACTTCTCTGGCCTCAATTCAAGAGTGTAAACGAAAACTGACGGCACAGGTGAGTTAATTAATAATAATTGATAACTGATAATTAATTGTTGTTATTAAGAATTAATAATTGTTATTATTTCTGGAAGTTCAGTGATTTTTCAAACAAACTTGAATTCCAGACCGAAGTAGAAAGTGATCACCAGTGGCTGTTGCGAAGTCTGTCAGGAATGGACGCG